TCTCTCTCTCTCTCTCTCTCTCTCTGTCTGTCAGAAGGTCTGCTTGCTTTCAATATTATTATTCTCGGTCTATTGCTTTCACTTTAAATTTCCGTCTCCCTTTTCTTCGCTTACCTCCTCCCCCCCCCCGCCCCCAGAAAACAAACAATTTCTAATATACACAAAGAAAATAATACAAATTAACAAACAAAGAAACAGAAAAGAACCTCAAATGTTCACGCTTTCCCTGCCCCGATATTGTCCAGGGGAAGTCCTCAAGATGTCTCACTACGCTAACGGCGTGGACCGTAAAGGGAACCTCCTCTTCGACATCATCATCAGAGGCGAGGTACCAGACCTGGGCCCCATCAACAACGTACATCTGGCGCCCTACCAGGAGGAATATATACAGACTGGGCCTGGTGAGTAGGGAATTTGTATATATTTATTGTGGAGATTTGAAATTATATAAAGTATTGCAACATTCGGGGATAAAATAATACTTTTCTTATACATTTTATTTGACGACTAAAGGATATGGTTTATTTTTTTATATACACTAATTGACGACACGACGATATTATGTTTTGCTACATTTGATGATCAGATTAAAATTTTTGTTATTTTATTCATTGGACAACCAAGTGGTACTTTTTATACTTTTGACGACTAGGTGATACCTGTTCAGTATGCATTTGACAACCAGTTGATACGTTTTATACGTTTGACGACCGCATGGATATCTTTCAAAAATTCATTTTGATGACTAGCTGATATTGTTTTTTAATACATAATAAAACGACCGTGTGGTACTTTTAACTACTTTTTCACGACCAGGTAATACCTTATTGTATACATTTGACGACTAGTTGATACTTTTTCATACGTTTGATGACCGATTGGATAATATATTTGTTTACTCTATTTGATGACTAGCGTACATTTGTTTTTTACATATTTATTATGTCGAGCGGGTGATATCTATTGCTTATACACATGTCGACATGGTGACATCGATTTTTAAAATACATTTGATGACTTTATATCTCTATTTTTACACATGTCGACCTTCTGATATCGATTTTTCTACCCTAGGCATTTTGATGATAAGGTGACAGAATGATATTTTTTCTACTCATGACGACCAGGTTATATCTATATATATAATATGACGACAAGGTGAGGTCTACATTATATATACATATTTGGACGACAGGGTGATATCTATTTTTTTTAAATATGACGACGAGATGATTTTTTTAAATACATATGACGACCAGGTGATATCTATTTTTTAAAGACAATACGACATCCACGTAATGTCGATTTTTTAAAGGTGCTTTTAAAAATATGATGACCAGGTGATACCTGCTTTTGATACATATGGCGACCAGATATTTTTTACACATATTAATATTATATCAATTAAAATTTATTGTACCCCAGGCACCATCTACGCCCACTCATCCCGTCTGTTCAGCGCGGACGGGTTCACCATGCCCTACGCCTGGAACCACACCATCACCTACGACCACAGTCTGGGCCGCATGCCCTACCTGGTGCAGCTGCTCAAAGCGCGGGAACTGACCGTAGAGGTTTTGCCCGGACAGGAGTCTGTCAGATATATACTGGAGGCGGATATTGCTCCTGGTGGGTTGGGTTGTTTCTTTTTAT